TGCTGAACCAACACTGACTTCTTGAGTGCTAAAAACTGTATTTGTTAGGCAGACAGCGACATTTGTATGGCAATAACATGCTGAAGAGAGGTGGTATCGCTTCATAGAGAGCTAAACCAACAGGGACCAAAAGACATGGAGGCATTTTAACCCAGTTTTTACTGTGTAAATGAGATGGAGAGTTTCTATTCTCAGTAAGCGGGGTACAGGAGCCAGTTTTCATTGTTGTGAGAAGTTAGAGGTTGATATCCTCACACTACATCTGTCAAAATGGACTTATCTGAAGTCATAGAAGGGGGAAATGATTTATTTTTTGAGATCAAAAATTTTAATATACCCATGTTAATGTCTTAAAATTCTTATTGTCTAGAAAAATCAGATTTGCTGGCCCGAGTCATTTAAAAACATCTGATAATGTTCACCCGGCCTTTTTTAAGTTGATAAACCTTGCCTTTGTATATTGACCTGTCCGTTGCAGTTTAGTCTATCAGTAATAAATTATTTGTGAATTTTTGGTTCCTATTTATGTGTTCATTTTGTGCCTTCATTAGTTACTGAGAAAAACTGGGTTTGTAGGGGCAGCTGTAAAAGTTCAGCGATGCACACTAGGTAAGCAATGAAACATTTGTGGAAGCACTGATCTGATACTGAGGTATCTGGGGCTCAGCTTTGTGAGGTAAAACACTGTAAACCAATGATTGGACCGCGTTTGATCTTCTTCTGTTTGAATGGTTTGGTTTGGTTTGGTTTTGTTTTGGCTCTTTTATTAGTGATTGCTGACAGGTTTTGCTTGCTTTAACGTCAAAAAAAGAAACCACTTGATCTCACCATAATTCAAAACTCGCCTTTTTCTCGCTGTTGAAAAATCCTCTTGACTGGATATGTACAATACATTTGCTAGCTTCATTAGAATGGGAAAGGCTTTTGGTCCTTTCCATGTTTTTTCTTGAAGAGGAATGAAACTAGCATGTACATAGAAATATGACTGTGAATTCAAAGCTCCCATGAATTCTTTCAGTACTGAAATTGCTGTATATTTTATGAGTAATAAAGAGATATTTAATATTGAACAGTCTTTTTTATGGTGGATTTGTTAACTACATGACACACTTGAAGCAGTTTGAAAGCTGGTTTTCACAGAGGACATTTCAACATGACAGGAAAGTCACAGGTGTCAGTAATAACATTAATGCTGGCAGTGTCCGTTTCAGGGTTGTGGTGTCCAGCAGCTGGCTCACTGTTACTGCGACCCCTTGAGCAGAACACGCTCATCGTTAATGTCATTAGCACCACCTGTGCTTTTCCTGCTATGACAAGTCAAAACATCGCCTGCTAAAAATTCCAATCAAATTAACTTTTTTGACTTTATGTGTAAGTGATGTTGGTTTTACATTATCTGTCAGATTCTACTTTTACTGATCTTTGATGAATCTTTATTTATTAATATTATATTTTAAACTATAAACAGAAACTTGAAAATGTCACCTTGTATGGAGAAATTATAATGACTACTATTGGAAATGTTATAGATAATATGTTAAATTATTCAGAGAATGATCAACAAATTAATCAATAATGAAAGTTAAAGTTGCTGCCCTAATTTAATCAACTAAAATGTTGAAATCTTAAGTGTGGTAACAGATGTCAGATTTGAACAGGAAAAAAACTGATTTAGCACATTTTCTGATAATGTGAAAGTGTGTCAAATGCTTTTAAAAATGCCAGATACTTGCACAAGTTTTTAAATTTTTTTGTTTTGTTGTGCTTAAAAATGATGTGTGCAGTAATCCACGCATCCTGTAATGTAGTCTACTTTTAAAACGGTGTGTAATGGTCCTTTAGTGAGGTCATAATCAGTGGCTCCCCGTGATTGGCTTAAAACTCGGAAGTGCTAGGATAGAGGGTAGTGAACATTAACTTCTGTTATGTAGTTGGTAGTTGCAATAGTTTCAAACTTTTTGGCCTCACTTGTGGCTCTGCAGGTTTGTGGAGCGTTATGGACGAAGTGACAGGAGCTCAGCTGATGGCTGAGTCTCTGAAGGTCCAGGTAATGTCACCGTGAGCAGGCATCATGCTGCAGCAGTGTGTCAAAGTTCATGTCGGGTTTAACCTTTAATGCTGGAATATTCCTTTCATTGCTACTTATGATCGCAGCTCTTCATGGAGCTCATATATCACCCGGGTTTGTTTAGCGGTGCTTTTTTTCTCCCAGCAGAAAGTGGAGTACATGTTTGGGATCGTTGGTGTTCCTGTCATTGAAGTGGCCGTGGCTGCTCAGGCTGCAGGGATCAAATATGTGGGAATGCGCAACGAGCAAGCGGTAAAACACATATTCTGCTGAAGTATTATAAAAACGATTACATTGATGTTTTGATTAAAACAAATAGGTTTGGCACACAACAGGCATGCTACGCAGCATCTGCCATTGGATACCTCACTGGGAGGTAAGATGTACTAGTAACCCAACAGAACAATGTGAGCAGCTGCTGGGAGTTTGTGTCTGATGTGCTGCTGTGTCCCAGACCAGGTGCCTGCCTGGTGGTGTCTGGACCTGGACTCGTTCATGCTCTGGGTGGAATGGCCAATGCTAACATGAATTGCTGGTATGTATTGTTTTTGTTTTTTTCCTTCAGTTTATGTAGTTTTAACATGGCAGCAGTGGGCTCCAGTCATATAAAAGTATATATTGTCATTGTACAGGCCAGTGGTTGTTATTGGAGGATCCTCAGATCGAAACCAAGAAACAGCAGGAGCCTTTCAGGAGTTTCCTCAGGTACAGTAATGTGTCCCTTCTTTTGGATTGTTGCCTGCTGAAGCTTCATTATGTGAAAGTTTTTATCTGACGCTAGGTGGAAGCATGTCGCCTATACAGCAAATTCTCTGCCAGACCCAGCAGTCTGGAAGCCATCCCATCAGTAATAGAGAAGGTAGCAGTTCAACCTCATCTTGTATAGTTTTTTTATTTTATTTTATTTATAAAGCTCAGTAATGTGCCTGACAGACCCAATCAGATACATATTGTGTAGTTTGAGGGTATTAAATAAAATGTGATTTAAAGTTTTACTGTATTTAATTGTTCATAGGCAGTTCGCACAAGCATGTATGGGCGTCCAGGTGCGTGTTATGTGGACATTGCTGGGGACATGGTCAATGCCAATGTGGACAGGAGTAAAGTCAGGTTTGCTGTCATCTTTGCAGTTTAAAGACCCTGCAGAATGTTGTGATTACAGGTGTGTAAGACAGTCAGAGAAGTGTGTTTCTCCTGCAGAGTTGTGTCCTGCTGTCCACCTCCACCAGTGAGTTTGGCTGACCATGGCGCAGTCACTGAGGCCATCTCTGTCTTGAAAGCAGCTAAAAGACCCTTAGTCATTGTTGGCAAAGGTAACATTGGAACAAATATTTGCTGTATCTCTTGGCATTATCACCTAGAAACCTGCACTGGAGGACCACTTGATAGACTGTAACGATGTGAGTGATATTGCACTGGACAGGAGCAGCCTATGGCCGAGCAGAAAATGCACTTAGGGAGTTTGTGGAAACAAGTGGACTGCCATTCCTGCCCACCCCCATGGGGAAAGGAGTGCTGCCTGATGATCACCACAACTGTGTGGCTGCTGCCCGCTCAAGGTGAGCCACCCTCTGAGTGTAAGCATATCTGAAACAAAAAAATATTGGCTCCTCAGCCATAAAATGATTAAATACAGTTTGTTTTTTTTATGTTTAAATGCATAGGAATCCTTCTGAAATTCCATTGCTCGTGAAGGTCTGTGTATCATTAAAGATCAGTTTAAGTTATTTAGTACGTTACATTATCTGTATTAGTTTACACTACGTTCATATACCAGAACATTTTGTCCAAAAGAACTTAAAACAGATGTTTGCATCTTAACCCCAATGTTGCCCCACCTCGTCGTCCTGCTGTTCCTGCTACGAAGAGCTCTTCTTCAGGCTGATGCTGTGCTTCTGCTCGGAGCCAGGCTCAACTGGATTCTGCACTTTGGTCTCCCGCCTAGATTTAACCCTGATGTCAAAGTTATTCAGGTATATACAGCAACAAAGAGATTTGTTTAAAATCAGTGTTGGCCTTGAGACCTTTAAAATATTGTTAGGATACTTCACTTCTATGAAGCTATGGTGTATACAGCTACTCATTTCAGGGTTAGTGTAAATTACTTGTATTGTCATGACACTGCAGTGCGTGCATATCCCCCGCACTGTGTTTCACTGCTGTGCTGTAATTTTAACTGCTCTTTATGCAGGTTGACCTTTGTGCTGAGGAGATGGGGAACAACGTGAGGCCTGCTGTTGCTCTGCTGGGCGACATCAATGCTATTGTCATTCAGGTGCAGTAAGTGCAATTCAGTTGGCCCACAAACACACACTTCTGATTAATCTCTCTCCTTCTGCTCTGTGTGCTTCTGTCATAATATTCTGATGTGCGTTGAAGATGTACTGCAAGAGAACAGCTCGTGTGTTTGTTTACGTCATTGTTTTTGTTTTGTTTTTCCAGCTCCTGGAGTGTGTCCATAAAGATGGCTGGAAGTATCCTCCTGATACAGAATGGTGGAGCACACTGAAGGACAAAATTGCTGCTAATGCAAAAATATCACAGGTGGGTTTAGACGCACTTATAAAACATCTGTAAAGTGATACTGTATGTGGTTACTCAAACTGTTTTCAGTGTGCCACATGCTGGTGGCATTAATGTAATAAATTATGTATTTCATATACTCCATTTAGGTTCTGAATCGTCTTTAATGGCCAAGTATGTTTGAACATGAAAGAAATTTGACTCCAGTGCAGAGGTGTGGGGGTGCTTGACCACACTGTTGATCTTCCCAAGTTTTATGGGCCCAAGTCAACAAAATACCAGTTTCTGAGAGACTGTCCACCTGATGACCCTGTAGACTCACCTGCACTCTTGCCCAAATTCATTTTGACATCCTATTATTCTAGTTCTTAAGACTGGATAAGGGCCATACGTTATTCAGAGGACTTGCTGAGTAGTGGCTATTTGTGAGACTAGTGGAATTGTACAGTGATGGTGGTTGGACAAACTGAGTGGGTTCTCTGAAGTTGCCTTTTTCTGTCCGCAGGCACTCGCTCTGCAAACAGCGTTGCCCTTGAACTACTATGCAGTGTTTCACCACATCTCCCAGTTGCTGCCACAGGATTGCATCATTGTCAGCGAGGGGGCAAACACCATGGACATAGGACGCACTATGTTGAAGAACTACCTGCCTCGACACAGGCAAGGCAGTCTCTTGAGGGGTTGCCTCAGTTTACAGTTTGTTTTGAAAAACAACTGTACAGCAGAATGTGTATTCTGTAGGAGCACTATTAGAAAGTAGCATGAAATAAGAGGCTTTCTCCAATGATAATTTTAGGTGTCACTGTAAGAAACAGAGTAGTGTCCCAAATTTAGCACATTGCCAACACCCTGCAAATGACACATGACCAGGCTTCTTGTGTATGTATATGTTCACTGCCATCCCCAAACGCTCTTCAGACTTTACCTGTATCAGACAGATATGATCATATTGAAGCTGTTTTTCAGAGATTTGTTTTGTAGCTCTTCATATATAAATATATATGTTTTAAGAGCAAATCTTTAGATAGCTGTGACCTTTCTGACACGACCAGCACCACTTGTATTCAAACACAGCAAATATACATTTTGATACTAAACAGAGTGTAGCCACTGTTGACAAATGGTTTAGTGTGGAGTGGTATTTCACTAAAGTACATCTTTAAGTCTGCATGCTTTAGCCTGTTGTTGGTTAATCCTGATGGCATGCAGGTTGGATGCTGGTACATTTGGAACAATGGGAGTGGGCCTTGGTTTTGCGATAGCGGCAAGGAGCAAGAATAGAGGCCAGCGGATTGTCTGTGTGGAGGGAGACAGTGCCTTTGGTTTTTCTGGCATGGAGGTTGAAACCATGTGCAGGTGGGTTTCCTTCCTTCCTCTCTATAAAATACATTCAGTTCAAAACCCCAGTACAACTTGAGTTCACATTTTTATTTATTTACAGGTATAAACTACCTGTGGTCATTATTGTGGTCAATAATAATGGCATATACAGTGGCGTGAATCCTGAGACGTGGAAAGAACTGGCAAAAGTGGGAGATTTGACCACTACGTGAGTCGTACATTGTTATCATTATGTAGTACATTAGCTGTCAAGCTTTCCTCCATCTGATCAGCTGTGTAATTTTGTTTTGCTTGCCAGAGCCCCTCCTGTGAGCCTCCTACCTGAGGCCCGCTATGATGAGGTTATGACGGCGTTTGGAGGTCGAGGGTTCCTGGTGAGGACGTTGGAGGAGCTGCGCATCTCCTTGGAGCTTAGCTTGAGTGACTGGGAGAGGCCAAGTCTCCTCAATGTGCTTATTGACCCATCCTCTGACAGAAAACAGCAGGTAAGTGTCAACTCTCAGGGAAATGTGTATAGTCATCTCAGTCATCCTGAGTAGTACAAGTCAAAATGAAAGAATCTCCTAGAGTTTTGTTGTGAAGTTAGATTAACACTGTTCAGCCTCAGTCACAGGCAGGAAATGCTTTGCTTCTATCCTGTGGGCCCCCTGGTGGTTGAGGATGTGATTGTTGCAGTGATGTACTTGTCATAAGGCATGGTTGTACTATCACTGTCTCTGGTTTTCTCCAGTGTGGTCAGTGCCCCACTCAAGGTGGCTTGGACAATCACCTGGCAAAAGGGAAATTAAACTTATTGCAAAAAAAAGCCCAGACACATGCAACGTCAGGGGGTTTGCAGGGTCAGGGACCTGGTGCACACTTACATTTCTGAAATTAGAGGTCAAAAAAATTACAACATTCGTGTAGGCCAAAAAAAAACCTTTTACACAAAATAACTCGACTAAGGAAGTTTAATATAATGCTATGCTGGCTGTATTTGCAGGAGTTTCCTTGGCTCACACGCGCCCACTTATAGACTTGAGGAGAGATCGGCTTCCTCCTTCGTCCAGAGCATTATCAGAACTGCAGTGACACTTCAGGAAACTCAAACGTGAACATTCACTATAAGGCTGCTTTTTGTGTTGTAATTGTTTCTATGAAATAACAAATGCTTTGTAATAGTTGCTACACAAATATTAAAGTTAGTAAAACTATAAAACATTTTAATACGTTGTGATATTGTGAATTTTATCTAATCTGTGTTTTTCCTGACATAAGGCTGCAGCTCTAATTATTTTCATTATTGATTGCTCTGATCATTATTGTCTTAACTAGATTAATTGCTTTGTCTATAAAATGACAGAAAATTGTGAAAAATAGTTCTGATGAGCCATTGTAATGTTTTAAAATGTCTTGTTTTGTCCAGGTTACTATGATAAATTAAACATCGAAAAACCAAAAACTTTGCTTTGTAAAGACTTTAAAATACTAAAACATATTGTTGATTGATTTTCTGTCAGCCAACCTATCAATGAATCAACCATTCAGTTTAGCTGTACTCCCACATATTAAATCTAGTTGTGTGAGTAACACGCTGTACGTGGACTGAAAGCTGTCATCCTAAAGGATCCAGCGCCAACACCGATGCTGGGAAGGTGAAAATGTCACTTTATGATGAACTTGGTGCTGAAATCCAGTTGTTTAGTTATTTTATTTTTTCTAAATTTGCACTGAGAGGCTTTTGCAGTAGTGAGATCAGTTAAATGTTATGTATTAGTTTATATCAAGTTGCATGATTTGCTTACTGAGTCTCTTGCAAATGCTTTTTTTTTTTACTTGAGCATGTTCATTCTACGCAAATTGATAATTTTCCTATCATGACAGACGAAGTGTTCTTGAGCAGTAATACCGCCTGTATTTCAGGGGTTTTTTACAGCTCTCATATACCCTAAAGCCTCAGTGGAAATGCAGACACCTACTTTTGTGGGACAGACGGGGCAATAAAACCAGTGATGCACAATGGGACCCATATTTTACCAAAATAAATTGTCATTGACTTTATACAGACACAGGAGCTTGATAAAATTGTCACAGGATGTGCACAGGTACTTTTACACCTTTGTGCCGAATCCTATTGCAGAGAAGCCAACTGTGGGCGACTGTGTGATACGCCTCCCTCTGAGAAGAGTGGAAACAACAAAAGGCATCCCCTGCAGTAGTAGAGATCTCATATTGGCACCCGAAGCAGCTGGCGGGCTGTCTCCTTTAATTTTAGCGCACACTGATGGGGAAGAAAGATTTAATGGTCATTGGTCAGCATACCCTCTTCTGAGGGCATAAAGGAGCGAGAGCAGAGAGGGAGGGGAGCAGAGGGACAGGACACTGAGGAGAGAGACGGGCAGTGTGAGAGGGCTGCTGTGGATCAGAAATAAAGTCAGCCTACTATCTGGAGCAGCATGACTCTTTTAACACTTGGACTGTATCTGCCACTGTGGTTCTGTTACGGCCTGGCTCAGTCCTCTTATCTGGATAGCATTATTTCATTCCCAGCAGGTAAGAATATTGCAAGCCAAAGCCTGTGTGTGTGTGTGTGTGTGTGTGTGTGTGTGTGTGTGTGCTACATGCAGTACTAAGCATGCACAGAGGACGCTGGACTGTAGCAACATAGATATTAAATGTCTAGTTTTGGGATTCATATGGAGCTCATTATCTGTAAAATGCACTTGTTTTGACTTGTATTGCATGAGGTGGACTGGAAATGCCTCTATAAATAGCGAGACCAGCTCCAGTGTTTCAGTGAGAGACACAGGCACTTTGTAGCTGTCCAGCTCTGGGAACTCTGCTGGACGGGTGTCATGATTTGATAGTTTGCACCTGTTTCCCTGTCGTTTATGCTTCTCCTGCATGTATGGGATATGTATGGGATGTTTTTGTATGTGTGTGTCACATTCTACGTACTTCAGTTTCTCCTGCATGTTTGTGTGTCTTGAGTTGAGCGTTTTTGTTCTCATTTTGATGAAGACGTCAGGATTCACATTCTGTTGTAATATTGCAGAGGTTAAGAGAACACACAAACTTTACCGTACCGACACGCTTCTTCTAATTTTGTCGCCTGCTATCATTGCCTGTGCGACTGCCTGCATGCACACTTTGCACAGCTCTCAGTTCCCAGGAGCAGCAGAGGAGATTCAACCCATGCTGTTTAGTGGGTCCACCTCCACCCCCACTGTTTCCTCCACCCCCTTCACTTTGGCGCCGCCACACTCATGTGAGTCGAAGTCATGTGACTTTGTATTGTGGAATATCTGACTGTCAATATGTCCTTTGGGTGACATCCAATCTACCTGCGTCTTACTGACTTCTGACCCCTGAATGACGGCTTTAAAACACTCAGAGGATGGAACATGTTTGCTGTAGGTTGATGAGATGAAATTCAGACAAAGTTCTTTGACAAACTTTATCAAGTCAGTAAAACAGCTGCTGTATTGTCTGAGTGTTATCCCACTGTCCTCTCTCCAATTAGCATTTGTGAAAGAAAAACAGTATTTTTATGCATTTTTTTTTTAAATTTTACAGAATGAAGGCGTTTCATTAAATGGTGCTGAGTCTGGGCCGGGCAATAATAACAATGGTTCTGCCTGCAACCGTGGCCCCCCTGGGGCTGCTGGTACCCCCGGTCCTCAGGTAGGATCCACTGTTCCCAAAAACATTACAGTACTGTATTGTACAACAATGAACTGTAGATCTGGGAATAATGTTGTCACCACATAAATCCAACCTCTCAGTAAAATCATAGACTATATGGGGTCTGCATAGATTTAAAGTGTGAATGAGTCCTCCAGCAACATGTCAGCCCCATCTCCTCTCCAACTTGACAGTTCCTGTAGTGCAGGAGATGGGGATTTCTTTGGGCCAGGCAACACAGCAGCCCATTAACGCTCCACATTTAGCCAAGACACAAATAGCCTTTTTCCACTGCCTGCCAGTGCGCCACACATCATTCTCAGAAACTGTCCGAAGAGCTGTCTGCCTGGAAAGGCGTACTGTGTCGCGTAAATTCCAGGGATTACCAACGCAAGCATGCATCTATATGCTGGTGTAATCTGGTAATGAAAGATATAAAGACATTTTGGTTCTGTAGGCGCTTTTAAACCCAGCCTCTTCCACTGTTAGCCCAGTATTTCAGAAGTGAAACACAGACTGGTTTGTTAAAGCTTTTGCTCTGTTTGTACATCTTAGGCCATTGCAACACCAGCTGGGCTGCAGCAGTGTTTCATTATATTTCAAAGAAACCCACAAGATACTTTTTAAATCAGTAGGACGCACCGAGCCTTTAGCTAATTGGAGCTGTAGCTGTGGGCCTCCAGAAGCAGGCATGACTTTGTAGTGGGATGTTGAGGACATTAAAAGTAATTTCACTGGCTATTTCTGTTATTTATATGCATATGCTGTGTATGTGTTTATGCTTATCAGGGTCCTCCTGGATTACCTGGGATAGCAGGGCCTAATGGGGAAAAGGTAAGCAGTTTATTTCTCAGTCTTCTGTTTTCATCTAATTTATGTGCCTCATTATACATTTTACAAGCTACTTGTTCTTTTGTGCTCTAAATTGTAACCGACCTATTTGACATGACAGAGAGATGCTTGCTGGAAGTGTATTAAATCACTGCTGTCCTTGTCCCCTCCTCCACATTCTGTTGTCAGGGAGAAATTGGAAGACCTGGGCAAAAGGTAGGAATCTTCGTTAATCACTTCATATTCTATGCTAAGTGGATTTGCTCAAAAAATGAGACACACTGCCTCTCCCTGCTCGCTAGCTGGAACTCAGAGCACTGCCAGCGCTTGGTTGTGTGCATCAAGAAATTGTGAGCAAGTGCAACCTTGACAGGGGGCAGACACATTGACAGGATGTGAGGGATGTAGAGCTGCTGAGACAGACTGTTTTAATAACATGCTTCTCCTGTCACAGAAGAGGAGCATATTTCTTCCCACAACATCTCAAAGGCATTTGGTATCAAGCCACCCTGTATTAGAATGAAAGGATGAGCTCACCCAACCTCACTGAAAGCTCAGGACACAGGGTCTGATCAGCTCAGGCAGGAGAGATACCTCCCAGTTGCTGTGATTGAGCAGTAAAAGCGGCCCAGTGGGAGAGCTTCACTGGCTGGTGGCCTGACCGAGCAGCTTTGCAGCACTGCAGTGCAATTTAGCTTAGTGCTTCAGCCAGGCCATAAATCATTTTATTTCCCACAAGCACAGGCTCCTGTTCTATATACAGCCCATCATTTAATTAAAGAGAGCAAAGTGGCAGAGCTCATTAAAGTCATTCTCCCCTTACATGTGCAGCAGTGTTTGACAAATACTGGAGCAAGCAGGCTGTCAGCTTATGCAGCAAATACTACATTTAATTTAATTTGTTTTTACCCTCAAAATAAGCAGGCACAAGTGGCCAAGGCTTCATAAACAACTTCTAACTGCTTCTTCAGCTGTGGTAGCAGTTGTTTTACTAGTGTTTTATAAGGTGTTTCTGTGTCTCAGATCATGTGCTAAGACTCATGTGTCCTGTTAGGGTCGGACAGGTCCTCCTGGACTTCCTGGGAAGCAGGGACCAACTGGATGGCCAGGACCAAGTGGGCCCAAAGTGAGTAAGTCAGACGTTTATAATGTAGATGGTATAACATACGTATGACATGACCTAAGTCAGCTGAGTGTCAGTACAAGGTCATGCAGATAAGGATTAGCTAAGTGTAAAATACTGTCATGTAACATGCAAACTGCCTTTTTCATATGTGTGATTGAAATGGTACAAAATAACCTTCTGAACTTAAAGCCTGCTCTCAGAGTTTCTCTTTTGGTTTGGGGTAATATTTTGTGTTGTATTTATTTACACTCACTGCTCAAAATGTTTGTTTTTCGTTAAATTGTCATAAATGTATGAATTTAATTATAGGTTTATTATTGAATAATGGTGTTGTACTAAACTACATTATATTCAGAGGTGTCTCTATATTTTTGTCCTCAACAGCTACATAGATAAGACAGTCAGAATATTAGGAACACCGCTGAATATAATGTAGTCCAGTACAACACCACCTTTAACCTTTAATTTATACATTTATGACAATTACACCAAAAACTGAAACATTCTGAGCCTCATAAACACAGATCTTAATGCAGAACTGTTGCAATGAATTGCATACAATTGTACAGGTGTACCTAATGAAGTGGCCGTTGAGTGTATGTCTGAGAAAATGAAGCAAATCCACTTATTAAATTTGCAAGTAAACATGAATGCAGGAACTTTGTTTAATAAAATCTTAATTTGTCTCAAACCTGATGGTTTTCTCTGTGTCAGGGTGAGAAAGGTGACTCGGGGCTGATGGGATTGCCTGGTGCCAGAGGACCAATTGGGCCAAGGGTATGAATGACATTCATGATTCTCACAGGATCTCCTCTTTCATTTTACATATATTTTGTTGTATCATGGATATTCCGTATTTTTTTTTATCTTTGATCGTAGGGTTTACCTGGGTATAAAGGGCAAAAGGTACGTGGCCATTACTGCATACACACTGAATTTTAATGAACATATTTTTATTTAACATCTATTTTACATTACATACAGTAACAGTGTTCTGCTCCATCAGGGTTCTCAAGCTGATCGTGGTGACAGTGGAGTGAAAGGTGACAAGGTAGGCAGGGTGTATCCGTAATGTTAAAGCAGTAGCCATGTATACTGTATATACACTATACTATACACTGTACAAAATATATTATGATTTACTCTTCTGGTTTCCACAGGGTGCAATGGGTTTCCCAGGAATGCTTGGACAAAAAGTGAGCAGCACCTTCTGGAAAATGAAAATTAGTTTTTCACAATTACAACTTTCGAAATCGGATTGAACTTAATGATGAGTTGATCTGATTTGTTGTGCAGGGTGAAATGGGTCCGAAAGGAGAACCTGGAATCTCAGGAAACAGAGGACCCACTGGCCAACCAGGGAAGAGAGGCAAGCAGGTGAGGTGTATTTGGGCATAGTAATATACACTGATCAGTCCTAACATTATGACCACCTTCCTAATACCGCGTACACAGGAGTCAGTGCAGCAGTCGGTCGCCACTCGTGTCACTCTGCAGATCACTGTGCATCTTCTGTGAATCCGTTTCCATAGGTCATGTTCGGGAAGAGAACAAATGTCGACCATTCAGTGAAAAACTTGTGTTAAAGGATTAAAAACTGGCTGTGAAGACAACTTAGAGATAATATTTAGACCAATTCAGCAGCCTCCCCACTCTGGGTGTGACATCACCACTGTAGCTGCTGAATGTTTCTCTTCATAGAGACCAGTGTTCAGTGTTTCTCTTTTTCAACCATTGAAACAAAGATTCAAACAAAGTGGAATCTTTTTAAAAGGACAAATGAAATTTAAACTTCAATCTACAGTAGATCAACCTCATCATCAGTGACCATCCATGACCCTGTCACTGGTTCACTGTTTGTCCTTAGACACTGTTGGTAGGTACTAACCACTGCAGACCAAGAACACCCACCAAGACCTGCAGTGTGGGAGATGCTCTGACCCAGTCATCAGCCATCACAGTTTGGCCCTTGTCAATGTTCACTCAGATCTTTACACTTGTTCGTTTTTCCTGCTTCCAACACAAAAATTCACTTGCTGCCTAATATACCCCACACACTGACAGGTACCACTGTAACAGATAGTCAGTGTTATTCACTTCACCTACCAGTGGTCATAATGTTATGGCCGATTGGTGTATACACTATAATTTGAATAAATGATATTTTGTGGAGACATTATAGTGAGCACGCAGGTAAACTGGAGAGTGCACAGAGCAGAGATATTGAGAGACAGTGGGCTGGAGTCCAAGGGTTTGAGAACACAGATTTAAATAAGATGTACTGTATGTGGATAATGGCAAACACAAATACATTTATTTTACTCATTTATGTGCTTGCCAAAGACCTTTTGAAACATAATGTAAAGACACATTTTCAATTTGTCTGCCTTGTGTGTTGTTTTGATTGTGTTTTAGGGAATTAAAGGTGACCCAGGCAGTATTGGTCCCATGGGACCAGCAGGCCCGCAGGGGCCTCCAGGCCATCCTGGTTCTCCTGGTTCTTCTACCACAGGTGAGAACTTTTTCCCTTTTCTCTTTTCTAACATCCCTCCAAAAAGAATTGAGAATACTGGAAGAATATGTAGTCAACATATGAGGGAGCTTGTTTTGGTGTATTTCTGCACCTTGTTCACTGAGTGTGTGCAGAAAACCTGTGATACCAGTGAGAGTAAAAGAAAAAACATCCAGCCGGTGTAAGAAGTGACACTGGTAAACTTATTTAGCACCAAAGAAATCTAATCTGCTGAGGGTGAAACAAGAGGCTCTCATCATGACATCATGTGGCTAAAATGGCTTCACAGATGGCGAGATACAGTACCTACACACAGGTGTACAAATAAATAAAGTTACATTTGTTACCTTGATCAGGTTTCTCCATGAATTAATTTGATTGTTTGCTTCCTGATTGATGAATCAAAGACACCACATGTACGTTCACACACTAATCATATGACTTGTGGTACAGTATCAGCTATTGGAGCCTGAACTCTCAACAGCCCTTAAGCCTGCAGTTACCTGGTGCATGTGGTTACTAATTTGTATATTGTAATCATTTTTCTTCCTGCATATGTTCAGGTCTTTACATGGTTGGAGCAAAGGGTGCACGTGGTCCACCAGGGCCTCCTGGAAAGTGTAGCTGCAGCTCTCTCACTAGTTCTCCATTTGATGATTATCCTTCCAGAGGGAACTATCCCAAAGTACCAGTGGTGAGGAATAAATAGTCTTATGATAATAACAATTTTATTTATAATGCACATTTAAAAACAGTCATTGACCAAAGTGCTGTATAAGAATAATCAAAAAAACACCACCATAAAAATGAACAGGATTAAAAAAAAGTCTTGTCATAGTCAATAGCAAAAACATACTTTGTGATGTTTCTAATTCAGCTATGAGGCCAGTACAGTGTCAGTACATCACTCAAAAGCCAAATTAAAATGTTTATAGATTTTGGCAGGAAAAAACAAACTACCAGGGCTGTCATGATGTTCACTACACAATTATCATGGTCAAAAAAATGTCCTGATAAACCAAAATAATGCTATCAGTCAAATTCATCAATAACCTTATAGTGTATACTGTTTGTCTAGTAGGGTAGAAGCTACATCGCTAGTTAGGTTAGGTTAGGTTAGGTTAGGTTACTTTATTTATACCCGTAGGTAAATTTGTCTTGCAGTCAGATCAAATGACATCCTTGACACATTCACAAAATACAAGAATAAAATACAACAACACATAAACCTGATGCCTACACCGAACGTAATAAAAGTACTCAGGGCTCCACCAATCAAGACATAAAAGAAA